TATATATATATATATATATATATATATATATATATATATATATCAGTGTTCTTCCTGCATGTATCCCTGCAGGCCAGAAGAGGGTACTGATCTCACTGATCTCTTTACAGATGGTTGTGAGCCACCATGTGGTTGCTGGGAATTGAACTCAGGACCTCTAGAAGAGCAACCAGTGCTCTTAACCTCTGAGCTATCTTTCCAGCCCTTAATAGCCTTTTTAATGAAAAGAAAGTTGAGGCTGCTTGCATAAGATAACCCAGAGCATAAATTAGACACAAATCTAGAATTAGAAGCCTTTTCTTCCAAAATTGACAACTAAATTAACCCAGGAGAAAACTACCTCTCTCCCGAAAAAGGTTATTTTATGCTATGAGATAGTACTGGGTGTTGCCTCTTGAGTTGCCCGGGCTACATTACAAAACTCATAATTTTCATTTTTGAATTTAAGTGACCATGATACTGACCAGGAGTGGTAGTTTGCACTCCCAACATCTGAGAAGTTTAGATGGGAGGGTCAGGAGGGCAAACTCGGTTAAGCTATGTGAGGAGAACTTGCCACAAACAAAATGTAATTGTGGGAAAATAAATATCAAACCATGCTTGCGTGTATGATAGAACTGTGGCTCTTTTTACTGTTTGGAGTGGGTATTTTATTTGAAATCAGGAGGACTTCTTTCTGTTTGTTTTTCCTTCTGTTAGCTACTCCCTGTATGACTTACTGGCTCGCCTATCCAGGGAACTTCCTCTAGTTCAGGGACTACTGCTGGCTACGCTACTCCTGACGTGGCCTGAAAGTAAACTTCTTACTTTTTGCTTTTCAGATAGTGTGTCCTAGAGTGCTTTTGAACATGCTGTCCATGGATGATTTGAATCTCTGATCATTCAACTCTTGAGGGCAGAGATCCTAGGCCCACAGTCACCTTGCCCAGTGTATTTCAGGCTAGGGACTAAACCAAAGGATTCCTGCATGATAGGCAAATTGTGCCCGATAGGCAAACACTCTACCAGTTGAGCATCCAAATCCATGTTTTTTGAGATGGAGACTAATTATATTGCTGGGCTCAAATTTAACTCCTCCTGCCTTAGTCTCCTGAGTAGCTGAGATTACACACATCTGTAACACCATGCCTGTATTTAAGAGCTGTACTACTCAGTATAAGCTCAACATTAGTGTGAGTGTGTGTGTGTGTGTGTGTGTGTGTGTGTGTGTGGTGTGGTATCTGTGCTTGTGCTTGTTTATGCACACATGAAGAACAGAGGGTGACATCAGGTGTCTTTCTCAGTGGGTCTTCATCTTGTTTGTTTGTTTTTTTTTTAATTTTTTTCTTTTTTTTGAGAAAGGGTCTCACTGTGTAGCCCAAGTGCTGGTGCTAACGGTGCGCACACACCACCGTGCCTGCATTTTCTCCTTTATTTTTATAGTGTTTTACTTGCATGTTTGTGTATGTACAACATAGTATAGTACCTGGTGCCAGTGGAGACCAGAGAGATAACCCTGGAACAAGAGTTACAAATGATTGTGAGCTGCCTCATGGATGCTGCAAACTGACCTTGAGTCCTCTCCAAGAGCAGCAAGTGGGTTTTTGTTTGTTTGTTTTGGTTTTTCGAGACAGGGTTTTTCTGTGACTTTGGAAGCTGTCCTGGAACTTGCTCTGTAGACCAGGCTGGTCTTGAACCACCTGCCTCTGCCTCCCTAGTGCTGGGATTAAGCAAGTGTTCTTAACTGCTGAGCCATCTCTCGGATCCCCTCCTTATTTTTTGAGTGAGGGTCTCTCATGAACCCAGACATAGCAGATTCAGCTAGACCTTGGATGGCCAGCAATAACTACCCCCCACCACCACTGAAGTTACAGATTCCCAGCTTTTTATATGTGGGTGCTGGGGATCTGAACTCATGTCCTTATGCTCACATAGCCGTACTTGACGAACTGAACTGTCTCCCCACCCCTTCACTGGGGTTTTTTAAGCATGCAGCAGGCTAATCTTATGCTCATTTCATGGGAAAAAGATCTGTCCACAGATCTGTTCAAGAGACAAATGCCATAGGTTAGGTAATTCTAGTTTTTACCCAGAAGCCATCTGCTTTCTTGATATCCCTGCTTATCTGAATTAACTTTTTAATATCACCAGTAATGAGTTTCTGCCTTATTGCATTTTTGCCTTACACGGGGGCTGATTGGGCAAAGACCTACCTGTAGAGCTCGCCCCAAGTGCACTTTGATTTTTTGAGATAAAGACTGAAGGATGAACAATTCAAGGCCAACCTCTACTACATAGTGACACCCCACCCCACCCCCCACCCCGCCAGTGCTCGCTTCAAAACACAAAACATCAGAACAAACAGCTGAAAGCTGACGTTGGGGTGATAGAGACAGCGCTGTGGGTAAAACATTATCCAAATCTGAATCTGGAAGCCCGGGTTTGGTCCCTGGGACCCAAGTCAAGTTGAAAGTAGAGAAATGACTCCACGAAGTAGTCCTCCGACTTACACATGGACGTGTCCCGCCCCAATAATAAAAACAAGATCGTCATCTCCCCTCCAGCTTCAGGCCTTCCTTGGCTCATTTCCTAAAGGAAGCAGGACCCGCTTTGTCCAGCAGGTGGCAGTGTTTCTCCTAGTATTCTCTTTCTCGTTGGAGACACTCTACAAAGAATGAAAATTATATTCTGTCAGCAAGCATTCTTGAATATAAATTATATTTGGATAGTGTCCTGTTGGTTTTGTTTTTTGTTTGTTTGTTTTTCGTTATTTGGAGAAAGGGAACCTCACTTGAGAAAACGCCTCAATCAGAATGGCCTGTAGTCAAGTCTGTAGAGCATTTTCTTAATGATTGATGTGGGAGGGCCCAGCACATGGTGGTTGGAGCCACCCCTGGGCAGGTGGTCCTGAGTTGTATAAGAAAGCAGGCTGAGCAAGCCAGTAAGCAGCATTTCTCGTGGTTCTTGCTTGAGTTCCTGCCCTGATTTCCCTTCATATTGGACTGGTATAAGGGTAATAAGGTGAAATAAACTCTCTCCCATCGTTGCTTTAGGTTATGGTGTTTTGCTACAGCAATGGAAAGTCAAGACAGGTAGTAAAGATTTGAAGATTAGCCTCAAGGTAGTGGCTCACGCCTTTAATCCTAGGACTTCAGAGGCAGAGGCAGGCAGATCTCTGAGTTCTAGGCCAGCCTGGTCTACAGAGTGAGTTCCAGGACAGCCAGCACTACACAGAGAAACCCTGTCTCGAAAGACAAAATAAAGAGAACAAACAAACTATAGAGTTCTTACTTCGTTGGTGTTCACAATGTGGGCATCTGGGAGCAAGATATGAGGGTGGGGGCTGCACTGTATCTCAGGGTTAGCCCACTTGTCTGGAATGCAAGAAGCCCTGGATTTGCTTTTCAGAACTGGGCGGGGGAAAGATAGTTGAACTGGGTGTGGAGTGTGTGGTGGCTTATCTTGCTAGTCAATTTGACACACCTGGGAAGAGAACAATTGGAGAGTGGCCTCCGTTAGATTGTCTTATGAGCATGTCTTTGGGGGCATTTTCTTGATTGCTAATCGATATAGGAGAACCCATGACACTGGGCAGCAAGTGAGCCCATGCGGTATCAAAAAGGTAAAGCCAACAGGAACAAGTCAGTAAGCAGTGTTTCATGGTCTCTGCTTCAGTTTCTTCTTTGTATTCCTTAGTGAGGGATTATGACATGGAAGAGTATTCGGCTGTTTTTGTGTGTCACCTCAACACAAGCTGGAATCAGAGAAGGAGCCTCAGCTGAGGAAATGCCTCCATGAGATCCAGCTGTAAGGCATTTTCTTAATTAGTGATCAATGCAGGAGGGCCCAGCCCATGGTGGGTGGTGCCATCCCAGGCTGCTGGCCCTGGGTTCTATAAGAAAGCTGGTTAAGCAAGGCAGTAAGCAGCACCCCT